GGTCAGAGCCGGGATGGCATAAACGCAGCGGGGCTTGTTGAAACCAGAATGGGCAGGTGGGGATGGCTTAATAGGGGGCTTGCAAAAAAGAAATCCCGAGGTCCTATGTACTCAGTTCCTCAGTTCCGTAGGCTTCTTCACACTTCTGCACCCCGCCCTGGGAGGCCGAGTCTAGAGACGGGTGGGTTGAAGGGTCTCGGGTCTTCATCGGGCGTCGGGGCGCGTTCTCGGAATTTTGGGACCGAGGCTCTCCAAGAAAACCTTTTTCCAGCCCGAACGCGTCTGGGAATACTCAAGGCGTTTAGGGTCTAGGAAGCAAGACAAGGAAACCCCCCACCAGCATTCAACGGAAGCTCGACCACTGCCCCAGTAGAAGCTAGAATCTAGAAAACCCTAAACCCTAAACTCTAAACCCTAAACCCTAAACCCCCCATCCCAGACCATCCCCATGCCGGTCACTGAGCCCCGGCGCCCGCGGCGAAAGTTGAGGCGCCGCTGCGGGATGTTGGAGAGCGTCGGCTCCATTTTCCAGTGCCTACGCAAGGTTTAGGGTTTAGGCTTTAGGGTTTAGGGTTTAGGGTTTATCGTTTAGCATTTAGGGTTTGGGGTTTAGGGTCTAGGGTCTAGGGTTTAGGGTTTAGGGCTTAGGGTTTAGGTGCCCCAATATGGTTATACATAACAGTTATAAGTACAGCTATAATTGGTCAAATGTAAGTACCATGAACTCCAAGTAAGAGTAGCCTACTAGGAGTACGGGTGGCGGTGGAGGGGGAAGCAAGGGGGGCATCTGTCAAGATCGGTCTGCCGGGCTGAGGATGTAGCCCTGTGGGAGCATGTTTATTAGTTTAGGGGTTTGGGTTTAGAGTTTAGGGTTTAGGGTTTAGGGTTTGGTTTAGGGTTTAGGGTTTAGGGTTTAGGGTTTAGGGTTTAGGGTTTAGGGTTTAGGGTTGAGGGTTGAGGGTTGAGGGTTCAGGGTTCAGGGTTCAGGGTTCAGGGTTCAGTGTTTAGGGTTTAGGGTTTAGGGTTTAGGGTTTTTTTGGTTTAAGGTTTAGGGGTTAGCTGAATGACAAGTCGTATGAGTAACCAAATGGCAAACACAACCCTACCTTTGAGTACCCTCAACCCTAGACCCAAAACCAAGTACTCTTAAGGCGTCGAGACTGAGCTACCACAAAGCTTAAACAACCAGGCTGAGGCTTCCTCATGATAACAGAATCTCTAAGATCCAGGTTTAGGGTTTAGGGTGTAGGCTTTAGGGTTTAGGGTTTAGGGTTTAGGGTGAAGGCTTTCGGGTTTAGGGTTTAGGGTTTAGGGTTTAGGGTTTAGGGTTTAGGGTTTAGGGTTTAGGGTTTAGGGTACCATATTATGATAAAGGGTACCCTTTCTGGGGTTGGTTACTTTATAAGGGAACCTTGAAAAGTACAGGGCACCACGAACCTGCCAAGTGCTCCTACCACGAACCTTCCGGTGCAAGCCCCGACTGATCCCACCCGCCCCCGCTCGCGTCCTGGAAAGTCCCAGCACTCGCCTGTGGGGATGCTCTCCTTGCAGACGCGGGAGCTTTGGAGGGGTTCAGGGTTTAGGGCATAGGGTTTAGGGATTACGTAGGGTTTAGGGTTTAAGCCCTATGAAGCAACCCTGAAGCTATACCCCCCCCCCATCCCTACATCAGACTATATCAAACTGAAATCTCATGCCTGATCCCGCGGGCGTTTGGTGTGTAGGGTTCATGGTATGTGGGGTTTGGGGCTTACGAACTCGGTGTGCAGGGTTCAAGGAGGCCAGTGCTCTGGGCTTGGGGGATTTAAAGTTTAGGTTCGGCATTTAGCGTTTTCTTTCTGGATTAGGCCGTGCCCGCCTGGAGGTGAAAAGGACGACTGCCGCACGCTGTTCGCCGCGATCTCGCACATGTCCTGGGTCTCAGGAGCAGTCCGAAGCACCCCCACACCTCGAAAGCCTGTACCCTGAAATCAACTGCTCGAGCCAAAAAAACCTCAACCCTCAACCCCAAAACCCTGAACCAGGGTCTAGGGCTTATAGGGCTTGGGCGCTTAGCCTAAACGCTTAAACCCTCTTTTGGTCTCTCCTGAGTAAACCCTGAAACCCTGAAACCCTGAAACCCCGAAACCCTGAAACCCCGAAACCCCGAAACCCCGAAACCCCGAAACCCTGAAACTCTGAAACCCTAAACCGAAAACCCTGAGCCCTAAACTCTAAAACCCTAAACCCTCAACCCGAAAACCCTAAACCCTAAACCCGAACACCCTAAACCCTAAACCCTAAACCCGAAAACCCTAAACCCTAAACCCTAAACCCTAAACCCTAAACCCTAAACCCTAAACCCTTAACAAGAGAGCGAGCGGGAGAGAGAGAGAGAGAGCGGACCCTGAGCCTCGCGCCGTCATCTTCAACCCGAACATGCACCGGGACGTCGTGTACTCTTCCAAGAGCGGCTCCTTCGTCGCGGGCTTGAGGGTTGTAGGGTCTTAGGGGTATGTAGGGTCCTAGGGTTTTAGGGACTTTGAAGGGCTTTTGGGGATTTTTCGGGTTTGAGGTTTTAGGGGGTTTTGAGGGCTTTAGGGGGTTTTAGGGGGTTTTAGGGTGTTTTGGGGGGTTTTAGGGGGTTTTAGGGTTTTAGGGTTTTGGGGTTTTGGGGTTTTAAGGGTTTTAGGGTTTGTAGGATCTGTAGGGTCTTAGGGTTATAGGGTTTTAGGGTTTAGGGTTTTAGGCGTTTAGGATTCAGGGTCTGGAGTTTAGCGTGTGAGGCAGAGGCTTTGCAGCGGGGGGGGGGGGGGGGGGGGGGGCAAGTGGCGCCCCACTCCTAAACGGCCGCCCATACTTTGAAGATGGCACGTCAGAATCCTTAAACCCTAAACCCTAAACCCTAATCCCTAAACCCTAAACCCTAAACCCTAAACCAAGGTTTTCTTCGGTCCGCCCTCAACCCTAAACCCTAGCACCTTTAACCTCACAGGCCAGGAAGCCCTAAACCCCACACCCTGAACCCTAAGCCCTAAACTCTCAGAATGATTCACCACCCCCCCCCCCCCAAACCCATACCCCTTAACCAATAATTGAAAGGAAATTGCAAGGGAATCTAAGGGAAGATATATCCATACCCATAAACCCAACAACTCAAACGTAAACTTAGCGTTCCAAACCCTAAACCAAACCCTTCAGGGCTTAGGGAAACGTGTCAGTCCAAGAGGCACCCGTACTGTCTGAATCCACGGCTAATCCGGAAACCCCAAACCTTTATAAGCCACAGAGCCATAAGCCGCAAACCTAAACCCGTATGAGCCCTAAATCTTCGCAAGCCCCGAACCCTACTGTAAGCCCGAATTGACCCATGTTAACCCCTAAACGCTTATCACCCCTAAACCCTAAGCACTAAACCCTCGTAAGCCTAAGCCCAGAACCCTGATTATGCCACCAAACCCCAAACCCCTACGCCCCAGGAAGGGGGGCTGCCTTTGTCGCGTGGAACATCAGCGGGTCGTCGGTCGACAGCGTGACCTCTGTAGTTTGACCAGAGCCCTAAACCCAACCACTCCGCATTATCGGAGGTTATGGTCTAGGGTTCAGGGTTTCCAGGTCTGGGGTTCAGGGTTTAGGGTTTAGGGTCTTAGGGGTTTAGGGCCGTAGGGCCATGACACTTGAAGATCATAAGGTTTTAGGGCTCAGGGTCTAGTGTTTAGGCCTCGCATAAAGGATCTCCTAAACTTCGGGCCCTAAACCCGAGGGTTGTGTAGAGGTGCCCCTCCTCGTGATGTCCGGACACTGACTGCGCATGTCCTACGGAGTTCCGAAACTCGTGCGGCGAACCCTACCCCTAATCGCCAAACCCTAAACCCTACCCTAAACCCTAAACCCTAAACCCTAAACCCTAAACCCTAAACCCAAAACCCAAAAACCCTCAACCCTAAACCCTAAACCTAAACCCTCCCCCTCCCCCAGTTCCGAGTGCTTTTCTGCCCGCCAGAGGCCGGCGGAGTAGGCCGGGGTAGGCCGCTGTCCATGGAGGTGAGACGCGCCCGGAATCTTTGCGGGCAAACCGTCTTCCCGAAGAGCCCTAAAGCCTGTCTAGGGTCCAGGGCTTCGGGTCCAGGATTTTGGGGTTGGGTTTAGGGTTTATAGGGTTTAGGGTTTAGGGTTTAGGGTTTAGGGTTGAGGGTTTAGGGTTTAGGGTTCAGGGTTCAGGGTTCAGGGTTCAGGGTTCAGGGTTCAGGGTTCAGGGTTTAGGGTTTAGGGTTTAGGGTTTAGGGTTAACGGCTTAGGGTTCAGGGTTTAGGGTGTAAGGGTGGTCCATGAAGAGCAAGCATACGATTCTGAGAGCACGGAAGGCCCGTGTACTCACATCACCCGCGCCATCCGCCAGCGTAGCCCTTGCGCACGATCTGAGACGCTGCTTCCTTGGCTGCTGTAGCACCAAAGCCTTTCAACCAGAAACTCTAGGTTTAGGGTTTAGGGTTTAGGGTTTAGGGTTTAGGGTTTAGGGTTTAGGGTTTAGGGTTTAGGGTTTAGGGTTTAGGGTTTAGGGTTTAGGGTTCAGGGTTCAGGGATTACAGTTCAGGGTGCAGGGTTCAGGGTTCAGGGGACAGGGTTCAGGGTTCAGAGTTCAGGTTTAGGGTTTAGGGTTTAGGACCTGCCTAGCTGTGCTGAACTCACACTGCACTACAGGACTCGGCTCTCCACACTCCAGTGGGAAACATCCTGAGCCTGGAGTATGCCATGCCATATCACCCCACTTTGACAAGCCACCCTAAACCCTCAACCCCAAAGCCAAAGCCTACAAATCACCAACCCCCGAACCCTTCAAGCCCTGAATCCCTTAAACCCTGAGACAAGCAGCCCTTGGCCACACCTTGTAGGGTTTAGGGTTTAGGGTTTGGGATCTGGGGTTTGGGGTTTGGGGTTTGGGGTTTAGGGTTTAGGGTTTAGGGTTTGGGGTTTGGGATTTGGAGTTTAGGGTTTAGGTTTCTTACCTGGAGCCGAGGAGCTCAGCAGCCCCCCAGGATCTCCTTTTGAACCTCTGCCAGTTGGGCATAGAAGTCCTGAATGGCTGAGGGTTTTAGTGGTTTAGGGGTTCATGGTTAGTGGCTCAGCCCCCCTAAACCCTAAACCCTTTAGGGATGCTCCACATCTTTCGCTCGTCCTCGCATGACCTACTTGCACTGAATAGTTGAGGTGAGGCATGGGGTCCAGGCGGGAGCACGACTTCGAGCAATGGCGGAGTGCGCACGGCACCGAGGGGGGAGCGCCATTTCGCCGCCAAGAGCTGCCAGAGAATTCTGGATTCTGTAAAAAAAGAATCGGGGCCTTAATAACTAGAACAGGGAGTTGGGGGTTCTTCTAGTATAATTATACAGGGGCCATAAGGGAACACGACTAGTAATTATTCCGACCCCTACATTACTTGACGAGGGGGGAATGCGCACGAGAGATGACGGCACAAGACCAGGATGAGAGCGACATCCGCAACACCACGACACCCCAAATCCCCCCTTAGACTGGACACGTGAAGTGAACCCATGCTCTACACAGAAAGGCGCACGCAAGCTTCAAACAATTGCATGGGACTGAGACGGGAGCTCGATTTCAAGTACGGAACGTGAAGTGGACCGAGGCAAGAGCGGTTGGCACCCTACGCAACCAAAAGCATGCTCTTTTGTAAACCGCATGTCGGGGCCCACAAGAACCCAAAGGAGCCCAATGCACACACACCAGAACACCATGACAAGAATCCTAAACCTACATGAACCTACATATGGGGCAGCAAAAGCAAGGACCCGAACTTAGAGAAGTACCCACATGAACCCGATTGATCCCCGGGGATGAGAGGGGTGTGGCGTCGTCCTTCTTCTCGTCGTAGAACACGTAGACGGGATCGAAGAGAGGGCAAATCTGCTGGTAGACCTTCGCTGGATCTTCTGCAACCCTAAACCCTAAACCCTAAACCCTAAACCCTAAACCCTTTTAAACCCTAAGCCAAACACATGCATGCATAGGTCACATTACTCCCGCAGCCTAGGGCTGAGGGCTTAGGGTTTAGGGGTTAGGGTTGAGGAATGCCTGGGAATGAGTCCCTCAAATCCCTAAGGCTCCTGTTCAGGCCATACTCAACAGAAGACCCTAAACCCTAAACCCTACACGGGCAGTTTTCAAAATCTATGGTCTCTTTTGAGAACCCTCCATGTAAAGCTCCATATTCTGGAAAGGGACCAGATAGACCACTAAACCCCGAAACCCTGAAGCCTAAACTCCACCTTGAGGTTGCAGCAACCGAGGCATGAAACGGGCGCCCTATTTCTGCTTTTTGGGGTTTAGAAGGGGACCTGAAAGCCACTAATAAAAGGGAATAAGGGTCTCATTCTGGGTCCTGACTACTGTTCTTGGTGATTTTTCAGGGGTTTGTAAGGGAACCTAACCCGTAGAGACACCGCAATAATAAGGGTACTACCGGGCGCGCTATAGGGCTCTCGGGGGCCCAGCAACTGATACTAGGGTTCAGGGTTTAGGGTTCAGGGTTTAGGGTTTAGGGTTTGGGGCTTGGGGTTTGGGGTTTGGGGTTTAGGGTTCAGGGTTTAGGATTTTGAAGTTCACTCGGTGCCTCGTAGTCATCCGGCGTGATCAGCGACTTCCTAGAATTGGCCCCCGACGACGAGGAGTTAGGGAACAGGGTTTAGGGTTTAGGGTTTAGGGTTTAGGGTTTAGGGTTTAGGGTTTAGGGTTTAGGGTTTAGGGTTTAGGGTTTAGGGTTTAGGGTTTAGGGTACTAGGTCACTAGGCAGCAGTGGAAATCCAACAGATGCGTTTCGCACAGCTGGCTTCCTTGAACCTTTGCGACCTCAACCCTCAAATCCTGAGCCCTAAAACCCGAAACACCAAGACCTAAACCCTATACCCCAGAATCCGAAGAAATCGCATCACAACGCTGGAATTTCGCGGCGCGAGTGTCTGCATCAGGATGCGGAGGAATTGGGCATACAGCCCCCTCGCCGCTTCGACCTTCTCCTCAGTGAACGACTCGGCATTCCTTGGCAGTCCGTGGGGTCCTGGGTGGTTAGGGTTTGGGGTTTGGGGTTTGGGGTTTGGGGTTTGGGGTTGGGGGTTGGGGGTTGGGGGTTGGGGGTTGGGGTTGGGGTTTGGGGTTTGGGGTTGTTTGGGGTTTGGGGTTTGGGGTTTGGGGTTTGGGGTTTGGGGTTTGGGGTTTGGGGTTTGGGGTTTGGGGTTTGGGGTTTGGGGTTTGGGGTTTGGGGTTTGGGGTTTGGGGTTTGGGGTTTGGGGTTTGGGGTTTGGGGTTTGGGGTTTGGGGTTTGGGGTTTGGGGTGTGGAGTTTGGGGTTTAGCGTTTGGGGTTTGGGGTTTGGGGTTTGGGGTTTGGGGTTTGGCGTTTAGGGTCTACTTTCTTTGCTGAGGACTAAAAGACAGGGCTCCACGACGCTCCGCACTTTGCGTAGAATCAGCTAAAGATGCGGGGAGCGGGGAGGAGGCTCTACAACTTCTCGCCTATGTATACCCTTACCTTATGTACTTGGAGGTTCGCGTATGAGCCAAATCAGGCTGTAACTGTAACTAGTTAAAAAAATGTAGCTACCCTACTTGGTTGTAACTATCCATGACTCCCTGTATACCGAAGTAGCCCACAAGTAGCGCCTACATAAGGGCTCCTGTTTAGGGTCCCTTCCTTACGTTCCTTCGAGCCGGGCCGCTGTCGCACAAACTGCGTCAGCTTCGCCGCGTACCGGTGGCTCTCCTAAATCGGCTTAGGGCTTAGGGTTTGGGATGTTCCCCCGTATACTACTAAGAGTCCTTAATGGGGATTATAATCGGGGTACTACATATTCCCTTTTAAGGACTGTTGGTAGAAGGGGGGAACATCCCAAGCTTAGGGCATCAGAGCGGTTCAACCGTTCAGGAGTTCTCCTGAAAAGTTGTTTACGGTCTCCCAACCCATCGACCTACGGAGCAATTTCCCAACAAAAAAATGGGAGTACTAGGCACCGCGTGTCCGAAGGGCTGTCCATCTTTAAGGAAGAGGACAGGAAGAGGACTGTGATTCAAGGCGGCCCCCATGTACGAGTACCCAGGCAGTACAAGCACAGGGTAGGGCTGCTGGGCTGCGAAGTGAGTGAAGGCGTTCGCTTCTGGTTCCTGGAGTCGCGCGGAAAGTTTTCGCGCGTTGCAAAACACCCTGAAACGACAGAATGCCCAAACCGCGACACCCCAACCCTATGCCCTAAGCCCTAAACCCTGAGCCCTCACCTTAAACCCCAAACCCTAAACCCTAAACCCTAAACCCCCTAAACCCCCTAATGAGCTCGCTATGGGGTCGACCTCCAGAAAGTCGTAGCGGGCGAAGATGATCATCTGCCTGCGTGCAGCGGCAGAATGCGCTGAGGGCCTCCCATCCCAGAAGCCACGTCGACCGGAGCACCCACAAGCCTCAAATTCTCCTAACGCCCATTTTTAGGGTGCAGGGTTCAGGGTTCTGGGGTTTTAGGGTTCTGGGTTCAGTGTCCAGGGTTTAGGGTTTAGGGATAGGGTTTAGGGTGCCCCAAACTCTAGACCCTGATCCCCAGGCGGCACCCGACGAGGTAGCGGATGAAGGCATTCCTGGGTTCGTTCTTGGTTGACACGTTCATTAACTTCGTGAGTCTTCCTAATGGTTGGCTTCTTCTTGGAGGTATCTTGACGGGGTAACACTATGAGAGAGAGAACGCATGCCAGCTTAACCGCTCTCTCTCTGTCACACCTTGAGACCCAACCTCTGTTCACCTGTCATGTAGCTCTTCACTCAGGAAACTAACCTCATCTCCAAGGAACCCACCCTAGGGACTCAAAGAATCCTGGTACTAGATGGGAATGAGTCTAATGAGCCAGGAAACTAGACCATTGATGAACCACAGGCTGTAGCTACCTTCATGATCTGGTTTAGCTTTACCGTTAGGACGTACCTGTCAGTCACCCTCTATCTCTAGCTCCTGTTAATGGTTAGAATCATGAGCCCTTGACCGCTCTCTCCCTGTCACCTCACTCTCTAGTACCTTTTCCATCAGATAACCGTCTATAACCTCTTCACTCAGGAAACTAACCTCATCTCCAAGGAACCGCCCCTAGAAACCGTACCATCATGAGTCTTTCTACGTGACAGGAACTCTCTTGACAAGGAACCCACCCTCTGTTCCCATCCTAATATAGGACCTTTTGGACAGGTTAGTTCTCCAAGACTCCTGAAAAGGCCTGTTAACCGTTCACACCCTTGGAATCTCCTGATCATGAACAAGACACACCATTAGTACCATCACCAGGTTGTGTTCACCAGTCTAGTTCTCTTCACCTCACAGAATTACCAATCATCAACACGGTTCACCCACGGGCTCTTGACACTTGACCGCTCATATGGTTGCCTTCACCGCTCTCACCGTGTTCTCTGAGCCTCAATGTGTTACCTTGTCAAGAGATCCCCAAAGAACCCAATATAATAGTATTACTGCGGTAAGTTCACGCACGCGCATTAATAATATTATAATTGGGGGTTCTTTGTGGGCCCACTTTGAGATTCATCCTGACCACGAAGTACTCAATCCTTGTGCTCTTTTCCCCTGGTATTTCCTAAAGAGCACAGTGAATGAATGAGCCTGCGAATGAATGAACACGTGAAGAGAATATAATTAGTGCGTTTATAAGGAAGTGAAACGAACGCATGAAACGCACGAATTATATGAACGAAACCATCACCAGTAAACATTAGAATTATAGTATTATAAGGGGGCAATATTAATAGTACTTTGTGGCCCCCTTATAAACCCCTTAATAATAATACTAATGGCCCGGACAAATATTATATCTTATTAGAAGCCCGGGGAAAAAGGACAAATTCTATTAATTAAAATCGTGCATCGTTTCACTCTTTACATTTTAATTATAAAATTGTATGCCCTTTTAGTAGTATTAATACGGGCGTATAAAGAGAGAGAGATAGACGCCCTAACATTCATTTCGTTCTCCTTTCACGCTCATAGTATTAACTTCGTGCCGGGTTCAGGGTTTAGGGTTTAGGGTTTAGGATTTAGGGTTTAGGGTTTAGGGTTCAGGGTTTAGGGTTTAGGGTTTAGGGTTTAGGGTTTAGGGTTTAGGGTTCCGGGTTGTCGCATCCTGGGTCTGGTAGCTGAAATTTTCAGTGCCTGAACAGGAGCCCAGATTCTTCAGCCGGATGTGCTCCGGCGCCATCTGGTACTGCTCCTGGACCTGCGCAAAGTGGGAGTCAAGACTCGGGGTGTCCTTTGGAAACCCCCTAAACCCTAAACCCTACACCCTAAACCCTAAGACCACCCTAAGACCCTAAGACCCTAAGACCCTAAGACCCTAAGACCCTAAGACCCTAAGACCCTAAGACCCTAAGACCCTAAGACCCTAAGACCCTAAGACCCTAAGACCCTAAACCCTAAACCCTAAACCCTAAACCCTAAACCCTAAACCCTAAACCCTAAACCCTAAACCCTAAACCCTAACCCTAAACCCTAAACCCTAAACCCTAAACCCTAAACCCTAAACCCTAAACCCTAAACCCTAAACCCTAAACCCCAACCCTAAGGCCATGTTTTTCTCTGAAGCCCTGAGCACGTCGGGGGCTCCCTGGAAAGCCCATGGCCCACAGCTGGATCCCCCAATGGTTCTACACCCGACCCAGCCGAAGAGACCCGAAAAGAACGCTGTGTTCGGGTTTTAGGTTTTTGGGTTTTCGGGTTTTCGGGTTTATGGGGTTTATGGGGTTTATGGGGTTTATGGGGTGTATGGGGGTTATAGGGTTTCTAGGGTTTCTAGGGTTTTTAAGGTTTTTAGGGTTTATAGGGTTTACAGGGTTTATAGGGTTTATAGGGTTCATAGGGTTTACAGGGTTTATAGGTTTTAGGGTTTATAGGGTTTATCGGGTTTATAGATGTTTATAGGGTTTATAGGTTTTAGGGTTTAGGGTGCTTGGTGTGGGAAGCTCCTCGAAGATGGGCTTGATCCGGGTGTCAAAGACGCGGTCGAAGATCCTGCGGAGAGAGGAGGGTTTCTGAGCCTGGGGCCTGTCCGCACTTGGAGGACTTGGGGCTTGAGGTTTAGGGTTTGAGGTCTAGGGTTTAGGGTTTAGGGTTTAGGGTTTAGGGTTTAGGGTTTAGGGTTTAGGGTTTAGGGTTTGGGGTTTGGGGTTTGGGGTTTGGGGTCGTTGAGGGTTTCAGGGTCGTTCAGGGTTCAGGGCTTAGGGTTGTTCAGGGTTTAGGGCCGCGGCCTGGGGGCTTCATTACATCCTGAACCCTGAGAGGCCCCCAGACCCCCATGAAACCTACGACGCTCCCTCCTAACGTGCGAGACCCTCAAGTCCAAACACAGGGGGCCTTAATCGTTAGAACAGGGTTTTGGGGGGCTATGAAAAATTAAAGTATGATCATCAATTGTGAAGGGACTATGAGAAAAATTCCGTTTCCAAGTAACCCGACCCATATATTAAGCCCTACGCCCCTTGAGATTTCTAGGGCCTGTCTTCCGAGGTGTCTACTGCTTCTACTTAGGGTTCCTAGGGCCTAGGGTTTCCGGTGCTTCTGAGTAGGGTTCCCACCTTTGGAGTAGACTATAATAGGAACCCAGAACTAAAACGAGTACAAAAGTATAGCGCTCAAAAACACAGAGTTTCGAGAGTTTAGGCGATTGCCCCCCGCCTCTGGATGAGCTCCTTGGGGGGCACTTCGGTCGCGTCGCACACGCCGATGGCGGCCATATGCTGGTCCTGCAGGCGGCTTGCTTCAGGTTTAGGGTCCAAGGAACCCTAAACCCTAAACCCTAAACCCTGAAACCCTAAGACCCCAAACCCTACCAAGTCTCAGGGCCCCTCAACCCTAACTCGAGATTCGAAACCCAAAACCCTAACCCTAAACCCTAAACCCTTCTTCGCACCCAAAAACCACTCAGGAAGGTGATTTAGGGTGTTGGTTTGAGAGGAAAGCCCTAAGCAAGTACCCCCCCCTTCGGTTCGACCGTTGGTGGGTTCATAGTGGAATTAGGGGATGTTGAGGGTGCAGGGTGTAGGGCGAACCCTAAACCCTAAACCCTAAACCCTAAACCCTAAACCCTAAACCCTAAACCCTAAACCCTAAACCCTAATCCCCCCTTCGGTCCACAGTCTCGAGGCCGACCCCCTCCTTCATGGTGTCGAGGCCTCCGGGAGGAGTTTGCTGGGGATTCGGGTTTGGGGGTTAGGGTTTAGGGTTTAGGGTTTAGGGTTTAGGGTTTAGGGTTTAGGGTTTAGGGTTTTGGGTTTAGGGCGTTAGGGTTTAGGGCGTTAGGGCGTTTGGGGCGTTGGGGCGTTAGGGCGTTAGGGCGTTAGGGCGTTGGGGCTTTAGGGCTTTAGGGCGTTAGGGCGTTAGGGTGTTAGGGCTTTAGGGCTTTAGAAGTTTAGGGCTTTAGGGCTTTAGGGCTTAGGGCTCTTTAGGGCTTTAGGGCTGTAGGGCCTTAGGGTTTAGGGTTTAGGGTCTAGGACTTCGGGGCTGAAGGGCTTGGGGCGTAGGGCGTAGGGCTTAGTGCCTTCGGGGCTTTGGCTTTGGGGCTTCAGGGCTTCAGGGCTTTAGTGTTTCGGGGCTTTAGGCCTCAAGGGCATAGAGTTTAGGGTTTCGGGTTAGGGCCCAGGGTGGCGGGGGGGGGGGGCGGGGGGCGGGGGGGGGGGGGCGGGGGGGGGGGCGGGGGGGGGGGGGGGCGGCGGGGGGGGTGGGCGGGGGGGGGGGGGGGCGCGGGGGGGGGGGGGGGAGGGGGGGGGGGGGGGCGGGGCAGACACCCCCAAACCCCCCCAAAAAAACCAACCACCCTCCAGCAACTCAAACCCTCAAGCCCTCTGCCCTGAACCCTAAAACCTAAGTCCCTAAACCCGTGAAACCCAAAACCCTTTTTCCCTCACCGCGAAGGCCTCTAGCTCCAAGGCCCGAAGACCTTCCAAACCCTTGCACCCCTAAGGCACCAAGGCACCCAAACTCAAGGGATTGGGGGCTGTTATGGCTCATAAGGAATATGGGGTCTACGGGGCTTATAGGGTTTATAAGGTTTATAAGGTTTTTGTTTTAAGGTTTAAAAGGTCTTTATGGTTTATAGGGCTTATAGGGTTTATAAGGTTTATGGAGTTTATAGGGCCTTTTAAGGGATTATAGGGAATATGGAGTTTACAGGGCTTATGGGGTTTAGGGTTCGAGGTTTCGGGCTTAGGGCTCACTGAACCCTGGGCTGCAGGCGTCAGGGGTAAGGAGGTTGGGGGGGTTGCCAGGGTCTTGAGCCTAGGGTTTAGGGTCTAGGATCTAGGGTTTAGGGTTCTGGGTTTAGGTTTTAGGGTTTAGGGTCTAGGGTTTAGGGTTTGGGGGTTAGGGTTTAGGGTTTAGGGTTTAGGGTTTAAGTTTAGGGTTTAGGGCTTGCGGGGTCAGGGTTCGGTTCGTAGCCGCCAAAGGGCCTCCAGCGGCGACAACCGGTGCTGCCAGGGCCCACCACCGGCGATACTCCTGTCTGGGGTTTAGGGTTTAGGGTTTAGTTCAAGGTTCAGGGTTTAGGGTTCAGGGTTCAGAGGGTTGAGGGTTGAGGGTTTAGGTTTAGGGTTTAGGGTTTAGGGTTTAGGGTTTAGGGTTTAGGGTTTAGGGTTTAGGGTTTAGGGTTTAGGGTTTAGGGTTTAGGGCTTAGGGCTTAGGGCTTAGGGCTTAGGGCTTGGGGCTCGAGGTCAACCTCGGGCTTGAGGGGTCAGAGGGTTCCGCAGAAATTTGCGATCAAGACAAGGCTTGGCTCGGAGTTCGGAGCTCTGGATAATCAGCTGGGCGTTAAACTACTATGCTTGCTTAAGAACCCCCCCCCCAAGAAATAGAAAGTAGTCCTCCTTATAAGGGCAACATAGGGATGTTCATACTTTTTTTGTTGTTTGGGGGGTTCTTAGGCAAATAGTAGTGTAAGCGGATAAAACATAGCTTAACCCCAACTCGGGCTCAGGGTTTAGGGTGAACTTCCCGAACCGGCTTTTCTGGCATGTCTGTATGCCAACGGCCAAGAGCAAAGTACTGAAAGGTTTCAACCTAAACCCCAAAACCCAAAGAACCCCGAACTGCAGGGTGGTTTATGTGGGCCTCCTCCGAACCCCCGACCGACTAAACCTACGCCCTCGAGTTTAGGTTTTTTGGGGATTAGGGTTTGGGGTTTAAGGTGTATGGTTTAGGGCCAGAACCCGCAGCCCCCGCACCCCAAACCCTTACGCGGGTGTCGTAAGGCAGCACCTCCGCACGCTTGGCCATGTTGTGGTAGTTGGCCGAAGTCCACCTCAACGTCAGGCAGGGCTGCAGCCGGTGCTACAGCCATCACTCCTACATCCTTTTACAAAGGGATCCGGGCTCCTGTCCCTACCCGAAAGAATTTCCTTCACATACCCGGAATATGGCCTTAAATCTCCCAAAGGTTGTGTAGAAGGGTCCGGATACCACCCCAGAGCTTGACAGCTTCATGTCAACTTCCTTTCTAATCAAGGGAATGGCCGCAGTGGCAGTGGAGCAAACCCGAATGACCAGAACCCCTCCTACAGGAGGTGCCCCTCATGCATCTAGGGTTTAGCCCTAAACCCTAAACCCTAAACCCTAAACCCTAAACCAGGGTTCTCTGGGAGGGACCCTGTCAGCATCGGCTTTGGGCACAGTCGACCCAGCTACTCACAACTTTACTCGCAGAGCAAGGAGAATCACCATGGAGGCTTTTGGGTTTCCGGTTTGCGGCTATCGTTTTAGGGTTTAGGGTGTGGGGGCTCCAAGGGCAAAAGGAAAGGCATCGCGCCGGGGATCGGGTGCAGATTTGCGGCAGGGACGCCGATAGTCCTCCACGAAGAATGGCATGTACTTGGCTTTGAACTCCTTCACATGGGGGTTACAGCGGTGAGGGCTTGGGCTTTCACAGGGCTTGGACTGGGAGCTGGGGTATGAAGCTCCATCAAGGAGAACCTAGTTCCCACTATGCAATTACCAGAGAGACCTACTACTTTAACACTAAGCTCTCAACCATTCAACCCTACACCCTAAGACCTCAACCCTATCAACCCCAAGCCCTAGAAACCCCCAAACCGCCAACTTTGGGTGGGAAGAGCTCTGCAGTTTAGGGTTTAGGGTTGAGGGTTTAGGGTTTAGGGTTTAGGGTTTAGGGTTTAGGGTTTAGGGTTTAGGGTTTAGGGTTTAGGGTTTAGGGTGGTCTCCAAGACTCCCTTGAGGCGTTTTTCAGGGCGCAACGGTCTCAGCCCTCAAGCCGCAAGCTCCGGCGCACCTCCAGCACTTCGCAGGAGCCCCCCAGGGGCTGCCCGCGCGCAGCCTGCGATGGCTCTTGTGGCTTCGGGATTTTGGGGTTCAGGGTTTAGGGGTTAGGGGTGAGGGTTGAGGGTCGAGGGTTGAGGGTTGAGGGTTGAGGGTTGAGGGTTTAGGGTTTAGGGTTTAGGGTTTAGGGTTCCTGGGGGCATCGCCCTGTAGGCTCGTCTGGCACATGCGAACTGCAACGTACCTGCGAACCGCCTGTTCGCCCGGAGGGGTCGGGGAGGCCCTTTTTGAATTTGCGACCACCCTCAACTCTTCTCGAAAACCAACGAGCGCGGACTTGGCTTCTCATTTGTAGAACAACTGAATGAGAAGTTGATTTGTTTTGAACGATGAAATGGGCTGCAGAATGTGAAAAAAAAAGGAGCATACGTAACAACCCGAACCCGAGCTTGCTTTACATAACTTGAACATTTAAAACAAGTGTTCCAAAAAAACTGGAACTATGTTACGTCTTGATGGCCCAATCTGGCGTTAAATAGGCTCGTTAACACGACTCTACGTACATAGGGTTATAGGGTCATGGTGGGGTCAAAAGGCCATATGCAAGACTTATCGGGTTATAGGGTTGTCGGGTTGGGTTAGGGGTAGGGTCTTCAAGTGGAGCCTGTAAGTTGGTGGATTCACACACTAGCCGCCTTAACCCGACTTGCAACTATGAACTTGGCTACCGCGGCCTTCAGCATTCAGGGTTTGACGTTGGTTGGGGCGCGAGCAGTTGTAGGGTGTAGGGACCCTGAACCCTAAGCCCTAAACCCCAAACCCCAAACCCTAAACCCTCAACCCTAGACCAGTCGTTCACGTTCTTGAAGCCTCAGACCCCGGAAGTCTTGAAGGATGCCAGCAAAAAAACACTCACTATATGTATCATATATATATATACACACATGTATACATACATATACATATCTTGGGGCTTGGGGAATTATGATTCTATCTTAAGCCGCAATGTGAGTATATACTTTGCCATTTCATGTAGTAGGTTTTGGGGTTTAACTCTCCGCCTCGATCAGCGCCTGGTACTTGGCTGTTGAGCCGAGCCTGGCGAACCCTGAGCCCACTCCACGACCCCAGGGTTTAGGGCTATTTAGGGTTTAGGGTTTAGGGTTTAGGATTTGTGGATTCGGTTCAGGGTTTAGGGTTTCGGGCTCTAAGCCCTGAAAAAAGCAAGCCCCAAAGCCCTGAAGTCTGACCCTAAACTAGTTAGGACGTGGACCAAGCCCGCGTGGTGACGATTTACGGGTTTTTGGGTGCTCCGGGGCCCTCCTGCTGGGGATGTGATATCGCGGGGGGGGGGGAGGGGGTCCTGTGTATGAGTCGGCGAATAGGGACTCTCAACCCTCAAACCTCAACCCTCCAACCCCTAACACAAAACCCTAAACCGTAAACCCTAAAACCCTACATCCTAAAAACGCGTCCCAGCAGCAGGCAGTACTCCACGTTAGCCTCCAGCAGCTTCCTCACCTCCGCAACACGCAAGTACTTGCTGAGGTACCCTAAACAATCCCTTAAAAGGGTATGTAAAGGGGGATATAAGGTACTCTCTATCTAGAGCCCCTTAAAGGGTATATAGAGGGGGATATAAAGGTGCCCTCTAGAATCCCTTAAAAGGGTGTATATAGGGGGATATGAGGTGCCCTACATAATCTCCTAAAAGGGTATATGTAAGGGGGGATATAAGGTACCCTATATCATCCCCTTAAAGGGTATATATCGGGCGATACAAGGTATGTTTCCCTACTAAGAACCAGCAGGGAGTGGTGTCGTGAAGATAGCGTGGGGCCCAGGCCTGGGGCTTCTAGGGCTTAGGGGATTAGGGTTGAGGGTTTAGGGGTTGAGGGTTTACGGGTTGAGGGTTTAGGGGTTCAGGGATTCAGGCGTTTAGGGGTTTTCGGGGTTTTGGGGTTTAGGGGTTTAGGGTGCTTTCGGGTGTGGAGCTGGTTTTAGAGGCTTTCCAGGCTGGGGGACCCACAAGTCCCAAAGCAAGGGGGGTTTCCCTCCCGAAATAGACACACTGGTAGAAGCGAAGCCCTCACAACAGAACTCCTTGTAAACGAAACATCTCAGAATCCTCAACCCCAAAAGGACTCCCAACCACTAGACCCTGAACCCTGGCAAAAGAACCCCCCGCACCCTAAACTCCCAAAACCTCCTAAACTCTCTACACTTCCTGAGCTTTCTAACTCACTGATACCCCTCTAAACTTCCTAAACCTCTAAACCCTCTAGACTCTCTCAACTCTCCAAACCCCAAAACCCTAAACCCTCCAGGCTCCCTAAACTCTCCAAACCCTGAAACCCTAAACCCTCTAGACTCTCTTAAGTCTCCACACCCTAAAACTCTAAACCCTCTAGACTCTCTTAAGTCTCCACACCCTAAACCCTAAACCCTCTTGATTTTCTAAACTCTCCCAACCCTAGAGCCCCAGACTCTCCAAGCCCCAAGACCCTTAACCCTAAACCCTAAACCCTAAACCCTAAACCCTAAACCCAACAGGGCGCGGGATGCCGATGCCTCCGCGAAGAAGCCCGGCCGACTGCCGCCGAAGGGCTTCAGCCCCGTGGCCTCTCAAGCGCTTACAACTCGGGATTGAGGGTGTAGGGCTTAGGGGTTTAGGGTTTAGGGGTTTAGGGTTTAGGGTTTAGGGTTTAGGGTTTAGGGTTTAGGGTTTAGGCTTTAGGGTTTAGGGTTTAGGGTTTAGGGTTGGGGTTTCGGGGTTAGGAGTTGAGGGGTTTAGGGTTTAGGGTTTAGCGGCCTCGAAGAGTGGATGGATCTTTCGCTTGGCCCAGTCGTAGGAGTAGCCTTGGGCTACTCTGTCCCGCTTAGGACTTACAGGGCTTAGGGTTTAGGGTTTGGGGTTTAGGAGGGTTTAGGAGGGTTTAGGGTTTAGGGTTTCGGGTTTAGGGTTTAGGGTTTGGGATGTAGGGCTCAGGGTTTAGGGTATGGGGTTCAGGATGTAGGGTTTAGGGCTTGGAATGTAGGGCTTAAGGTTTAGGGTTTGGGGCTCAGGATTTGGGGTTTGGGGTTTTGGGGTTGAGGGTTTGGGGGGATTGGGGTTCATGCTCCCTAAGCAAGCCCGATGTCGCTTTCAGCTGGGCGACCCGCGAGGCGCAAAGTCTCTACGAAGAGCATGTCCGCAAAGACCATGGTGGTGGCCTGTTTTCGAGTTGTCACCCTAATGCCTCAACCCTAAACCCTAAACCCTGCATCCTAAACCCTAAACCCGAAACCCTAAACCCTAAACCCTAAACCCTAAACCCTAAACCCTGCATCCTAAACCCTAAACCCCGAAACCCTGAACCCTAAACTCTTCGAAGAGCCGCGGCTTCAAAAGCAGGTAGGTGTAGGGCCGTAGGGCATAGAAGATGTTGCATGCGAGGACCAAGACAGCACATACCCGAGAAAGCAAAAGAGAAGTTTAGGGTTTGCGGTTTAGGCTTTCTACATGGGCCAGTTCTCAAATTTGTGACACCATTTTGGGGTCTCTGCTACAATGCGGCCGTTGTACTTAAGACTTTCAGACTTTCAGAGCTGGCCACATGACTCGACCAAACGCTGCTTCCCAGCTCTCACGATCAAAAGCGTACGCAGAGGCAAAAGCTCTCCGAACTAGTTGGGGTTTAGGGTTTAGGGTTTAGGGGGTCAAGGGTTGATCAGAAAAGGCTCTTTTTGGGTCTCCATTACAAAGAGTCCTACCCAAAACAGCCCTTGACGCCGAAGGTCGGCCCCCCACTGCTCTCTGAGAAGCAAGGCTCTCCCGAAATCTCCAGGAACAGATGACACATCCCAAGAAGTCCTGACCTAGTTGGGGGTTTGATCAGAAGAAGCCCAGAAGCCGTGCGTTACACCCTAAGCCGCTAGGTTTCGGGTTTAGGGTTTAGGGTTTAGGGTTTAGGGTTTAGGGTTTAGGGTTTAGGGTTTAGGGTTTAGGGTTTAGGGTTTAGGGTGTAGGGTGTAGGGTGTAGGGTGTAGAGTGTAGGGTTTTGGGGCTTAGGGCTCTCTGAGGTTCAGAGCTTGGAGGTCAGGGTCTGGGACCCTGAACGGCATCACCTCGGACATCATGCGGTAGATGATGTAGGTACGGCGAGCGTTCGTAGACCTTACTTCGGGACTTTGGGGAGTTTAGGGTTCGGGTTTTTGGTTGAACCACCCTAAACCCTAAACTCTTCCCCCCTAAACACTAAATCCTGCTGCAAAACCCTAAACCCTAAGCCCTAAGCCCTAAAACCTAAACCCCAACAGCCCGAAAGGAGCTCCTCTGGCGCACCCACTCCTACTTCTCAGGGCGAGCAGCACAAGACAAGATTGCAAGCAGACCAAGACAGGATACGGTTGACCGAGGCCGCTCAGGGCATAGGGCTTTGGGGAGCTTACTGGGAGGTTCATGGGCAGGTAGAAGTAGGATTGTACGCAGGACTATGTTGATATGGCCTTATTTAGGGGAACTTAGGGTACTTCTTTCCCGACTCACAACTGCCCGTGTATAGGAGATCTGTTGACCGGCTGCAGCCACACATTCTAACCTGCAGGCGGGGGCAATGCTCAACAGTGAATTCCCGAACCCTAAACCCCTTTCGGAATGACTTTCTACATGGAACCCACGAATGCTTCAAAGCTAGGATGATAGGGCCTGAATTCGGGCTACTGTCGTTGCAGTCCACAACTACATTGCCAAATCCTGCACCATCCGCCCTGTGCGTTTTACTGTACATTTGGGGTGAGGGTTCAAGGTTTTCTGTCCAGGGTCTGGTTTGCGTGAATCCATAATCTGCCACAAGGACTTATTTCTCATCAGGGTTGTCAGAAGAAGAAAGACATTGGGGATCATGCTACTCGCCCAGCCGCGTGTTTCCTGTGAACACAAGGTCGGGGATCAGGAAGTGCCCGAAGTCATGCGCAGTGAAGGTGATTTCCTAAGCTGCTGCCACCAACCGCCTAAGCCTAGCTCCACACCTGGTTGCCAAATTAGGTCCCGGATGTAGCATGATCCCCTTTGGAGGACCCTCATATAGAACAACCCCCCGGCCACACACAAACCGTGACCCCAAGACCTTACGCCTGATGGCAACAAGGCTCACGACTGCGACCCGACTACGACGCAAGTACGACTCGACTAAGACTCCACCACGACTACTACGACGACTGCAATTATAAGCTTTGCATGTGCCCTAAACCCTAAACCTTAAACCCTAAACCCTAAACCCTAAACCCTGACTAAGCCCAAAACATGCGCGATATTCGTCCGTAAACATTCTCAAGCCCTAAACCCTAGACCCCAAGCCGTGCCCGAGCATCGTGGATGGGGTCCTTCTTCGACACAAAGGGAATGCCAGCGTTGAGGCCGGGAAGCCAGTAGTTGACCTTCGAGAGTCAGAGAGCTTTGGGGCTTGAAGGCCAAACTCTAAACCCGAAACCCTAAACCCGAAACCCTAAACCCTAAACCCGAAACCCTAAACCCTAAACCCTAAACCTTTCAACTTTGAACCCTGGGGGTGCGAGGCTCAGGGATTCGGGCCCTTTGGCCTCATAAACCTTAGACACCTCTTGTGTTGTTTAGGCTTAGGGCTTAGGATTCAGGATCTAAGGCTTAGGGTTTAAGGTGCAGGGTTTCGGGTTTAGCCTGAATTTTGGGGTTTCGGGCTGCATCACGACTTTGTCGGGTTTTTAAAGTTAAGTTTTAGGGTTTGCGGGGTTTAGGGCTTAGGGGGGGGCTTAGGCTGAGCAAACGCGGAACTTAAACCCCCCCCTTGGCGCCTCGCGCCGCGACTGCGCAGAGCGAAAGAAAGCCTCGCGTTCAGTGGGCCCGAGTGGGTTGAGGGTTCAAGACCCAGACTGAGAGGCATTAGAAGATGGAACCCCGTAAACCCTTTGAAGCCTATAAACCCTGTAAACCCTCCAAACCCTAGATACCCTATAAACCCTGTAAACCCTATAAGCCCTGTAAGACCGGTAAACCCTACAAGTCCTGAACAATGGCTGAGCAGCGCCGTTGTTCGCCACCGCGACAAAGACGTCGCTGAGGCCGGAAGATTTCGCGACCGCGTTGTTGAAGAACCTGGGGAAGGTTCAGAGTCTAGGGTTTAGGGTTGGGATGTTCCCCCCCTGTCCTAACCCTAAACCCTAAACCCTAAACCCTAAACCCTAAACCCTAAACCCTAAACAGTCCTTACTAGGGATTATCGTACCCCCGAATATAATCCCTATTGAGGACCCAAGTGTAGGGTTTCGCGCGTTTTGTCGCAGGCCACAGGGCTCCTACCGCGCCGCCAAAAACAAAACCTAAACCCTAAACCCTAAACCCCAAACCCCAAACCCTAAACCCTAAACCCTAAACCCTAAACCCTAAACCCTAAGCCCTAAACCCTAAACCCTAAACCCTAAACCCTAACCCTAAACCCTAAACCCTTTTAGCCCGAAATCACGAAGGAACAGGCGCCTCCAGCCCACAAAGCCCGAGGCCCCAGCAATCAAGCAGGTATACTCCTTGTCCACACTATCTGTAATGTCGAGCCTACTACACGCTCAACCCCCCTGAACCCCAAACCCTAAACCCCAAACCCTAAACCCTAAACCCTAAACCCTGAACCCTGAACCCTAAAGAAACAAAACAGGCAGGGTTTAGGGTTTAGGGTTTAGGGTTTAGGGTTTAGGGTTCGGGGTTCAGGGTTTAGGGTTTCGGGTTTCGGGTTTCGGGTTAAAAGGTTTTGGGTTCACAGTTGTTAGGCCCTGTCGTTCCCGAATCCCCAAAGATCAGCAGCACAAACCTTGTTTTGGTTTAGGGATTGAGCCTTACGGCACTAAACCCCTCATTGGTAATATTCACAACCCCAAAACCCCAAACCCCAAACTAACCCTAACCCTAAACCCTAAACCCTTAACCCCAAACCCTACAAGCTAAACCCTAAACCCTAAACCCTAAACCCTAAGCCCTAAACCCTAAACCCTAACAACTCCGCAAAAGTCTGCTCAGGAACTCGTTCTTAGCCACAAAGGCGCCAGCAGAGTCGGGCCCAGCGAAGGAAATTGTTTGGCTGAACTTCTTGGACTCCTCCCAGTGCTCTGAGAGTTTCGGCTTTAGGGTGTTTAGGGTTTAGGGTTTACATAGGCTTTAGGGTTTAGGGTTTCGGATTTAGGGTGTTTAGGGGTGTTCAG